TGCACTTGAAGTCATCGGGACACGTTCTGTTGAAACACTCATATGGCACACCTCCTCTGTCCTCGAGCGGGTACTGATTGTCTCCGCAGATCAGATCGATTTCCGACAGGCAATAAAGTTTGCATTCCCTTTCCGTCTCGTAGTTGTTGCCATTGCCACTGCAGCCGCTGTATTCGAACTTCTTACATCTGTTCTGCTGTTCATCGAAGTACCTGTAAGTGAATGATATAATTATCGATATGCAACGGTAATTTTACGCATCGCTAAAGCATACCAACGCTGAATCTTGTCACTGCACTTTCCGACTTCAGGTTTAACGTCACACTGAGGCTCAATTACATTGGCCACGGTTGGTTCAGTTAGAATCGCTGAAACAATGCACTTATCATAAAAGATTTATCCAATGGCAAATGTCCACATTGTATTTTTTTGTCAATCAAGAATCCCAACTATACGCGGTAACTTACTGAATCAGCTTGGCACCCAATTCCAAAATATGTTCTAATCTATAGCTTGAAGTCTTTAATTAATGGATTGGTGGCAGCAGCAGACTTTCGGGTTTTTACTAACTTGACTGTGATTACATCCACGTTAGACAATTTCAGGATAATCTCCACATAGAAAAAGTCTCGGCCGTGCTCCTGTATTCAAGTCTTTCGAGGTACTCTCCAGCCTGTCATTCACTAAGTGCGTGTGTGTATGTGTGTGATGCAGGAGAACTGCTTTTTGTCAACGACGTTATAATCAAAGTACTTATTGACAGCACACAGTCAGAATATCATTTACCTCTGTGAGAAATCAAATAATTAATCTATCCTTACAAAGTTAACCTACCTCTTTTGCCCTTGAAGGGAAGCAATAAAATGACATAGGCCAGAGTGCATTCTCCTCAACTCCTTGCAGTAAGAACAACTCTTAAAATAAGTCATGAACTTGGAGGAAACCTCTGTTAGGAGGCCATAAAAATCTGCCTAAGATGAGGATTTCGTGACTGCAATCACAATGAACTTCACGCTGCCTATATTCTTCAAAGCCTACAGAGTTTACAGAGAGGCAATGATAAATTGAGACACACTATTTCTAATTTAAGTAAACAATTGACCTCATATTCGCACATGTTACTTTGACGAGTTTTGAGCGGAAAAGTTCGAAACAATTCGTGATTACCGTCGCAATCTAGCTTCAATTCTCCCGGTCGAGTGCGAGTGTTTGGCAGTTCCACGCCGGCCTTATCGACGCACCAGCAATCGCCTGTATTCTGGTCACATTGCTGGTTGACGAAGCTTCCGTCCACGGTACACAAAGGAACGAAACCGCTGTAAACGGAAACCTTCGATGGGTTGCCATAACCAATCGCCGCCAACTGCTGTTCCTGGCACTCTGAAGATAGAGATGATTGAAAAAACTAAAGGTGATAACAAAAAAGTCATAGTGATAGCGATAATGAGTGCAGAAGCAAAATAAGAACTATTTTCATCTTCTGTTGTATGGCGTGGGTTGGGGGGGAGAGGGTAGTGACTAGCAAATTAACTATAACTAAATGTACATTCAATAAAAACCATCAATATAATATAAGGCGTCGTGGTCGTCGCGGGAGTTCACACTGACAAAAATCAAACACTCAGCGTCATACAAATTATCAATCTTGGCAATTATCTCTTAGTGAAAAACGCTAAATTACTATAATTTCTTGACTGTTTATTATGAAACATCTTTGGCATAAATCGAATGTGCATTTTATTTACTAAAACTTTAAAAAATTTTAAACCTGGTTTATAAACCGCTGTTTTAAAGCAGCATTACTACAAACCAGCTTTTGTCACTTAATTATTTTTAGTTTTCCCATATATATATACGAGGTTTATAGGAAAACTAAAAATAATTAAGTTATATATATATGTATTTAACTTAATCATAAAATCACAACGCTTCGACAAGGAACGTAAAGTTTATCGTAAAACTGAAACCTTATTCGCTCAGACACTA